TCACCACACGTTACATACATCTGGCCTGTGCTCTAAAATTACACAAATATAAATCTCAATATTAACTTCATCTGAATCGTTAAGAAGCAAACCCGAAAATGACAAAACGTGTTATCCCCTAAGCTACCTTTCCAACAAGAGAAGCCACAAATCTTTCAGTTAAAATGGAATCAGTGTTTGCTACCAAAAAGCGTATTAATGCTTTAGTAGTTACGGATAGAAAAGCGAGAAATTGGGGGAAAATTCACTTTTTTTCAACGTTACCGTCCACAAAAAAAAAAAAAGAAAAAGAAAAATAAAACTGTAAATGGAGTAGGATATTTGTGTGAATACAAACAAACATATATACGTATGTATGTACATTCATAGCGCCATAAATATTATTAACGAAAGAACCGACGTAAGAGAAGTAAAACTTAAAATTGCAGAAAAATAGTGTAATCACGCCTTTTCATTGCTTCTCAGAAAAACTATGAAGTTGTAGTGAAAAGCGAAAGAAGAAGAGCAAGTGTAAGGAAACGATATCAGACGTTTGCCGATATGTAAATAAATGGTGTGCAAGTGAACTTTATTACTTACAGGGAAATGATGAAGTGGAAATAAGATTTATGTTGACCTGGAAAAACATTTGTAATTCTTTGGGAATGCTATAAAAATATTTTTGCAAGTGAATACCATTTATTTTATATATATATATACGAGGGGATTCACAAAATTTCGGTAAGTTGACCAGAAAAAAAACATTTTTGTATGTATTCGTAATCTTTGGCTTTTTTCTTCTCTACATAATAGCCAATGATTTAAATGCTTTTCTTAAGCTTGTAGATCCACTTCTGCAAACTCCTTGCTTTTTATGCTTATCATGTTCAACATTAACTGCATTAATTAGCCCCTCGTTACTATTAAAGACCTTTCCTTTTAATATTTATTTTTTTTTTTTTAATTTTTGGATACAACCGGGTGCTATATCCGGGGAATATTTTGCTGAACGTATTTCTTCGCTCCAAGAGATCGCAATAAAATTGCTCGTTATTTCAGCAGTGCGAGATGGCGCGATGTCATGATGCAAAGTTTCGCCACGCAACTCTTTCTTCTGTCTTCCAACAAATTTTTAAAAACTTTTTGGTATGTAATCTTCGGTGTACCATTTTGCTGTAACTGTCGGACCCTTTTCAGTGGAATAGAAGTTAGGATTTTAGATTGGGTGAAGTAAACTGACACCATTAGTTTTGCTGCTGAATTTCGATGCTCAGATTTTACGGGTGGGTTTGATCTTGTTGGGCTCTATACCATGGACTGCTTTTGGTTTTTGGATCGTACTTATAGAGCCAAGATTCGTCGCAAAAAAATACTTGCATAAACTAGATAGACTGAGCATTTTAAAATTTATTTAGAAAAAATTTAGCAAAATGCCTTCCAGCCTCCTTTTTGGCCTCATATATAAAATTCGTGGTACCCATCGAGCAGATTTCTTCGTGTATCCCAGATGATTACTTAATATTCACGATACAGCCATGGCTTTCTAGCTCAATTTATTAGCAATAGTTTCACGTATTAATTGTGGATCATTGCAAATTTTAGACTTCCTTTGAGCTACAGTGACTTCATCAGTGGAAAATTTTGCTCTGCAACCTCGGGGCTCGTCTTCTATGAAAAATGTGCGATCTGGAATCTTCAGAACTTTATAGAAATAGTCTTTAAAAATGGTGCACTCGTACCATATGCAATTTGTCATTCACTGAATATTTGTTTTGCCTGTAAATTACGCCGAAACCCGAAGAAAATCACATGCCGAGTTTCTGTTTGCCTTGGAAATGAAATTTCGTCTGACCTATACTCAGAAATTTTGCGTTTTCTCGTCTCCTTTTCAGCCAATCGTTCTAAAATTTAAAAGGACGACTAACAAAGTAATACCAAAGGATTTGGTTTTTTTTGGATATAACAAAAACAAAGTGAAAGCAAGCAGCTAACCGGATTTTTTTTAATGCCCTCTTATGTGTCTACTTTGGTCAGTAAGAGTGCGTATTGGTTGGATTTTGGTTAGAAGTTTACTTAAAATAAAACGAAAAAATAAAATAAAAATTATACATACATAAATGTGTTTGTGTTGAATTTACTAACATTTTTGATTTTCCAAAGCTTGAGTTAAGTTGAATTGGTGCGATACTTCTCACCTTCTCAGTTGCACGAAACATTTCGTGTGGCTTATAAACGATGCGATACTGTCAGCAAGGCTCCGAAAAAAGAGATGTCCAAGGAATTTATGCTGTGTGAAGCTTAAGACTAGACAGTGACAGAGATAGTGCTTGACAGACTCTTCCTCTTCTTTGTCCCTGCAGCTACTACAGAAATCATTGGAAAAGTATAGCATTCTCCTACCATAAAGTTCCATTAAACAGAGTTCAGTTAGTATGCCGGCTGTTGAATTAGTGGTGAATCGGTCTAGGCGGATTAGACTGATGTGCCGTAATTATATTAGAGAGATCTGATAGCAGCTTAGCTAACTGAGTATATACTGATCAGTTGGCTTGTACTCAAAGATCCGAGTTACTGCTCTGCGGCTTCCATGATGGCAATATGTTCTGCTTGCAATATATATTCGTATAACGGTTTTTGGCCTAGCTCCTCTTCCAATTTGTGGTTTTGCGTCTGGATGTTTTTTTCGAAAATTGGAAGGACCTACAGTTTATACTAAGCCGCCTCCGAACGGCTGATGGCTTTTTTATGACGAGCTTTATTTTATGTCAGAAATACACTCGAAGAGGTTGACATTTCCTGCCGAGCATCCACTGTAATTAGATAATTTAACTTTCAATGCGCTGCATTAGTCTGGTAGCCTCAATTAAAGTTGATTGAGAGTTTTGTTGAGTCAGCTCCATAGCGTACTCTTTCATCTAGTTTAGAGCCATCTGTGAAAATATTAGTATGTCATGAGTTTCCAGGGCTCCAGTAATGAGAATAACTGTTGACCGTTGAACACTATACAGTCTAAGTTTGAGTTCGGATTATCAGTTTTATAATAAGCAAATAAACTCAAAGGATTTAAGTGTTGGCAACAGAAATCAAAAATAACCCACTCCAAATTCGAAAAATATCTGTTGATAGGTGTTTAATTTTTCAAAAAATCTGCGCTTTCGCTAAGTGGGAAACAATTCCTTTCATACTTCTTCCGTCATTGTCTTGCGGGTGTACTAATCGGCGGAACGGAAAAATAACCATCCTACATACACAAGTTTATATAATATATGACGAATGTTGGTTTTCAAGGGTTCAAGAGTTAAAAGGTTATCCATATAAACAAGGTCTTTCGTGTAGCTTTACAAAACAAAGTTCAAGAGTGTCAAGTCACACGATCTCGGTGGCCCCTTGCCATCGTTAATATGAGAGATTAAGCAGCCTCACAATAAAACCATATACGCCCAAGTTGAGTGGCGTTTGACACCAGTATGTTGAAACCACACATTGTCCAAGTCGTATTCTCCTATTGCAGGTTAAGAAAAGTCGGCTATCATACGACCATAACGCTCCGATTTGAAAATGACAGTCCCACCGTTGCCTTCAAAGGAGTGGGGCCCAATCACACCTCCGGAACAAAGAGCGTACCAGACAGTGTCTTTTTTTGTGTAAAAAAAAAACAAATGTGAAAAAATTCATGCCGTAATATATATGATATATATAATTATATATGTATGTATATCAAACAAACTATGCGTGAGGCAAAACTTTTTCAATTAAGCCATATATAAATGCTAATTCGACATCGACATTGTAATACATTTAGTTACTCGAAAGTCATAGTGCACGAGTACGTGTATTTTCATATGCTACCGACAGCTGAACGGACTGAAGTAGTATACATACTCTGAAGGGAAAAATTTTAGTGATTCTCTAGAATTCAACTTGTTTGCATTTTTGCATCCATCAGTTCACTATTCACCTATTTCCCATGCATGAAACTGGTATTTTCAACACGGCGGTGTCCCACTAACTGTCAATTTTGCGACTATGCATCAGCGTTATACTAGTTTTATACAAGTTAATTTCGGCATATTGAATTTCTACTTCACCACAAAAAATAAAATTGTTGGGTTTTAGTAAGCAAACGCACACGAAAGTAAACTCGTAAGTTATATGTGCAGCCTACTTGAGCTTTATGGGGAACTTACGTAAAGATAAACACCGATTGTCATATTTTGCTATAATTTGTTTTACTTTTTCGTTTGTTTTTCTTCTTATTCATATTTTTTCGGCAATTACATTCTTCCCGCTAACTTAGCTCAGTTTTTTCGTGTTCACCGCTTCGCATATGTTTTTGCTTGCTATCAGCCTCGATCGCTGCTCCTTCTGTTTTTATAATATTAAGTTTCATATCGTTCAAATGTTTTGGATTATAATAAAGTGGAATTTTTATAGCTCGTATACACCTCGTTTTTATTTCAACATATTAAATTGGTCCTTCGAGCCAGATACGTTCGCTCCGCTCGCAACGTTACAAGTACAACCCGCAACTTAATTACACCATTACCGCATACCGCAAACAATTAGAAGAATTGTTTTCGCTATTTTGTGCGACACCAATAAGCAAAAAAGCTAAGGCGAAATCTGTACAAAATACATCTTTGTTTTCACGTGTAATCGCAGTTGAAGTTACCGTCGACTTGCTCTGACTTTCAACAAGCACCGCTTTTTCTTAAAAAACCGCGCCTCATCGTACAACAAATGTCAAACTCCGTTAAAACTCGTGACTCTGCTCTAAACTCCATAAAACGTTATTTAGCGAAGAGTATGGAGGATGGACTTGACATGGATATAGAAAATGTTAAAAGTTACCTTCAGTTACTTAATGAGCAATGGATTCGTTTCAATACCGCACAAGACGCTGTCGAGATTTCCTGCGGAATTGATGCTTGTGAGTTGGAATGTTAAAGTGCCGCATCGAACCCACTGCTCAACTCTCTGCAAATTCGACGCATGTGTATGCTCCTATAAGATTACCCAAAATGGACCTTCCGACGTTCTCTGGAGACTCAACAGAATGGAAAGGCTTTTATGATGCGTTCTCTGCATTAGTAGATACGAACATCGCCCTGTCTGAGAGCCAGAAATTGCATTATCTACGCAGCTGCTTAAAGGGAGATGCGTTAAAAATTGTTAACGGGTTTAAAATTTGTGATGCAAATTATAGCGAAGAATGGGACTTACTTAAGTCGCGCTATAAAGTTCTGCGTGTTATCGTGGAAGTTCATTTTCGAGCGATGGCTGAAATACGGAAAGCGTCTAATGATACGGCAGAAGCTATAAAAACCGTTTTTGATGCGTTTCAGCAGCATATTAGAGAACTCAAGGCTATAGGTCGACCAGTCGAGTTTTGGGACGACTGGCTAGTTCATGAAATCGTCAGCAGATTAGCATTTGAAACTAGAAAGCAATGGGAGCTATCGCTTCTTAACGATGACCCGCCGACTTTCGAACAATTATCAACTTTTTTGGAAATAAGATGTCGCTCGTTGTCTATGCTTCCCACGCCGACTACGTCATCTGCAGCACCCACCAAATTGGCCAAGGTATTTCACACCCTATCTGATACGAACGTTATTTGCTGTATTTACTGCAATGGATCGCACAAAATTTATAGTTGTGAGAAATTCCGTATTCTGGACTCGAACGCAAAATCGAGTTTTGTAAAAGAATCAAAGGCATGTATCAATTGTCTAAGTACCGGACATTACAAAGCCCAGTGCAACAGCACATCAGTTTGTCGAATATGCCAAAAACGACATCATACCTTACTCCATGTTAACGCGAATGCAGCCAATGTATCTCCAACATACCTCGTCAACGAAGTAAAGGAACCCTCGTCCGAAAGCTCCCCCGCAAATCTCTCATCTGGGTTCACTTCATCAACTGGGACAGAACCACTATGTATATCTTCATGCTTAAATTCCAGTCCATCGCCAACAACGCAAAGAACCGTATTACTTTCCACAGCTTTGGTAAAGATCCGTGATTGCACTGGCAAGTGGCAACCTGCTCGTCTGTTATTCGATTCCGGATCGCATGCCTCGTTCGTAACGGAATCGTGTGTACAACGTTTGGGCTTATCACGATCCCCATCTACAGTTTTCATCACGGGAATTGGATCCTCGCAGGGAGGCAAATCAAGAGGTGAGACCCTAATTTCACTTTCACCTTACTACTCAGATGAATGTTACACCATAAATACTTTGATTTTATCTAATATCACGGGCGAGTTGCCTACGCACGCCCTAGCTGTCTCTTCATGGTCTCATGTTAATGATTTGCTTTTGGCTGATCCCCAATTTATGAAGCCTGGACGCGTCGACTTATTGATTGGAATGGACGTAATGGAGCAATTTCTATGTTCTGGGTTGCGAAAGGGTCTTCCTGGCACACCTATGGCACAAAAAACGGTGTTTCATTGGTTATTCGGGAGCATTTCGGCTGAGGAGTCACCTACATCCCGGTTTCAGTCATTGCATTGCGATGTTCACCTCGAAAGAGCGCTAGCCAAGTTGTGGGAGTTAGAAGAGGCACCCCAAAAGATGCATCTTACGTCTGAAGAGCAGTTTTGTGAAGACCATTTCAGATCCAGTCATCGAAGAGACCTTAGCGGTCGTTTTATTGTCGAATTACCTTTAAAATCCGAAATCGCATTAGGCAGCTCACGAAATTTCGCCATACGAAGTTTGCTACAGATCGAGAAAAAATTGGCTCTAAATAAAGATTTACGATCGCGTTATAACGAATTTATGGACGAATTAACTGAAATGAATCATATGGAACCTGCATCGGAAGTGACAAGCGCCGCATATTACATGCCTCATCATCCAGTTATTAAGGAGTCAAGTATCACGACCAAGCTGAGGGTCGTTTTCAATGCCTCCGCCAGGACGACCTCCGGAAAGTCTTTAAACGACGCCTTGTGTGTAGGACCGCAATTGCAACAAAATCTTTTTTCCATTTTGACGCGTTTCAGAACGCACCGATATGCAGTTACAGCTGATATCGCAAAAATGTACCGACAAGTCCTACTTTCCCCTAAGCATGTAGATTTACAACGGATTGTTTGGCGTCGAGATTCGTCCTTACCCATTATGGACTACCGAATGTTAAGAGTGACGTACGGCGTTGCGTCCGCATCTTACTTGGCTGTCAAGTCACTACAACAAACTGCGAAGTGTTCCACGAATAAGAGTAAAAAGGCGGCTGCTGTTATTGAAAAAGACTTTTATATGGACGACCTTTTAACCGGAACCTCCACGGATGACGAGCTTTTATTGTTGCAACAAAATATCTCAGATATATTGAAGGAAGGCGGCTTCGAGCTTAGAAAATGGGCGACCAATTGCGCAAAATTAAACGAGTATATTTCTAGAAATGCACCAAACATATCGCATTACTTAATCGACGATAAGGATGTGTACGCCTTAGGCCTTGTTTGGAACACTGCAGATGATCATTTTACATTCGCCATAAATTTGAAAGAACGGCCAGCTACTTTAACCAAACGAGCCTTTTTATCTGATGTAAGTACGCTTTTCGATCCTCTGGGCTTACTCGCGCCCGTCACTATACGGTCGAAAATATGGTTTCAAGAGATTTGGCGTTCGGGAGTGGATTGGGATGATTTAGTACCTGATGACATATCTGCGCAGTGGCTCGAGCATCGCTCTGGCTTATTACAACTCACAAAGTTGAAAGTAAACCGTTGGCTCGGCTCCGGAGTAGATGGGTCAATCATAGAGTTACATATTTTTGCTGATGCATCTGAACGGGCTTATGCTGCCACATTGTACGCGCGTACTACTCAAAATGATGGAAGGGTCACCGTTTTGTTAATAGCGTCTAAAACAAAAGTGGCGCCGCTTAAGCCAACCACGCTCCCGCGTCTTGAGTTATGTGCGGCACATCTTGCTGCCAAGCTCGTACGTATTGTATTAAAAAGCTGGACTGACATTTCTTGTCCGTTGTATGCGTGGACAGATTCGACCATTACGTTGGCATGGCTTCAATCACACCCCAGCAGATGGGTCACGTTTATAGCAAACCGTGTTGCGAATGTTCATGAAATTCTACCGCCGCAATGTTGGAATCACGTCCGTTCCGAGCAGAATCCTGCCGATTGTGCATCAAGGGGAATAAAGCCATCCGAATTACTGAACCATCCCTTGTGGTGGACTGGGCCCACATTCCTTAAGAATACCTGCTGTTTCTGGAGACAATCGTCGGAGAAGATACATACCACTGAAATTGGTGCAAAAGGCAAGGTCCGGGCTCACGTGGTCAATTCCAATTAGTACTGGTCGGTAATAGCAAGATACTCTTCGTATTCAAAACTACGACGCATCGTAGTCTACTGCCTAAGGTTTATTCGCAACATTCAAGCCAGTCTTCACAACAGAGCCGAAAAACTCTTCGGGATGCCGAATTGCCAGGAGATCGCTGATGCTGAAAATCGCCTAATTAAGTATACGCAACTATTTTATTTTTCTAATGAAGTCTCTATTTGCAGCGCGAAACGGCCCCTCCCGCTTCGTAGCTGTCTTGTGCGTTTGCAGCCATTTATTGATGAGTGCGGTATCCTTCGAGTTGGAGGGAGACTAAAACACGCTGCTATTGCATCTGATATGAAACATCCTATTATTCTACCGAAAAATTGTGCGTTAGCTAAGCTTATAGTACACGAAATCCACAGGTTGACACTTCATGCTGGACCCCGCATAATGCAAGCAGTGCTTCAACGAAGATATTGGGTTGTTGGTGCTCGCAATTTGATCCGCAATGTATATCATAATTGTGTAAAATGTACCCGCTTGAATCGCAACATCGCTAACCAGCCAATGGGTGATCTACCCGTAACTCGTATCACGTATGCTCGTTGTTTTATTCGCAGCGCAGTAGACTTCGCGGGACCTTATATGTTCAAGTTCACTCACGGAAGAGGTGCAAAGTCAACCAAGGGCTACATTTGTTCGTTTATTTGCATGTGCACTGGTGCAATGCATTTAGAGTTTGCGGGCGACCTCTCAACAGTAGCGTTCCTTAATGCATTCAAGAGGTTCGTTAATCGCAGAGGCCATTGTAAGGAAATGTTCTCTGACAATGGAACAAATTTCATTGGTGCGGAAAGGATGCTCCGTGTGAATCTTCAGCAGTGCATGTCCGATAGCAGATTTCAATCCTTCTTTGCTGAATCAAGTATCGAGTGGCATTTTAATCCCCCCTCAGCTCCCCATATGGGTGGCTACTGGGAGATCGGTATTAAAAGAATAAAGTACCATTTGAAACGTGTACTGGGAGAAACTTTGCTATCATACGAAGAATTCAACACGTTGCTAATAGAAGTGGAAGCCTGTGTCAACTCTCGTCCGCTTTGTGAAAATTCTACAAGTGTTAATGATTTAGAGGCTCTAACACCGGGGCACTTCATAATTGGTGAACCTTTAAAGACTATTCCAGAACCTGAACGTCAAGGCTTCTGTGGAAATTTGCATAAACGTTGGCAGCTAATTTCCGCAATGAGACATCACTTCTGGCGTCGTTGGAAGGATGAATACTTGGTGGGATTACAACGTCGAACAAAATGGTTTCGACCTTCACGCAATTTCGAAGTAGGAGATGTTGTAGCTGTTGTCAATGAAGTTGCTCCGCCTACGAAATGGACCTTAGCTAGAGTAATCAAATGCCATCCAGGGGCTGATGGTCGAGTTAGAGTGGTAACCGTCAGAACGCCAGTTGGAGAGTTAGTACGACCTGTCGTAAAAATTTGTCTTCTACCCACAAGGGAGAATCTAATTTGCGATAACTCAGCAAATTTGTAAAAAAAAAAAAAAAAAACCTGAAAATAAGGAAGTTATATTACTATATTGAACTATGTACTCATGTAGTTCAAGGGCGGCGGTATGTTGGGTTTTAGTAAGCAAACGCACACGAAAGTAAACTCGTAAGTTATATGTGCAGCCTACTTGAGCTTTATGGGGAACTTACGTAAAGATAAACACCGATTGTCATATTTTGCTATAATTTGTTTTACTTTTTCGTTTGTTTTTCTTCTTATTCATATTTTTTCGGCAATTACATTCTTCCCGCTAACTTAGCTCAGTTTTTTCGTGTTCACCGCTTCGCATATGTTTTTGCTTGCTATCAGCCTCGATCGCTGCTCCTTCTGTTTTTATAATATTAAGTTTCATATCGTTCAAAAGTTTTGGATTATAATAAAGTGGAATTTTTATAGCTCGTATACACCGCGTTTTTATTAAATTTAAGTTAATAAAAATTAAAATAAATAAGAATTGAAATAAATAAAAATTGAAATAAAAAATAATTTTGCCCACAGCGAGATTCGACTGGTATGATTTTATTTTCAAAATATTGATGTTTAACTAGAATTATTGCCCACCGGTCTATCGTCTCCCTGCATGGTATATAGATTTGAATCATATTTCTAGTTCAGTTAGGATGCCGGTGACAACGTATTAAGAATCATATATGGTAAAACTTATAAGAAATAAAAAAATAATAAAATAATTTTGTCGATTGGAAATTGAAGCGACAAAAACTCTTTTTATATTATTTTTAAATACATAAGTGAAGATTTATAAGGGTTTCAGGCATAAGATAATTTCAGTGGTTTTCTTTTCAATACTAGAAAAGCAAAGCCCCTACTTGGGAGGCCTTGCGGAAGGATGTTAAAGTGCAAACTTGATACTTGTGATGTTTAAACAAAATTAAATGGAAATTTATCTAGTAACAAGTTGGATAAAATGTTGTTAATGAGACTTGCAGCTGTTGTTAAATTAAAGCCTTAGCAGGAGTATTAGAAGGAGACTCAACGAATAAAATGCGAAAACTCGGCAGTAAAAGTCTCATCATTCTTATATGGTTAATTACAGTTGTGCCTTTCAAATGTCAAAAATATGCTTTTACACAAAAATATATGAATGTAAAATATATATAAATATATGCGTATGTGTACATTTGAATTATAAATCTTTATTCATGTTTACTTGCTTGAGTTGCGGTAGCTTAGATGAATGATATATACATTACATGTACATATATGTAAATTTGTGTTTGCGTTAATACATTTTGCACTACTTGGTTACCGTTACTCAGAAAAATGTACGAATCTGTATGAATGTATGAATAAAGTCATTAAAATTATTTTCATAAAGTATGTATGCCTCATTTTGTGCATTTGTAGAATTTTCACACACGATTAAGCCGTATAAAGAAATAAATTGTAGAAAAATTATATAAAAGCTCACACTTACATATGTGTGAATATATGCAATCTCTATAAAATATGCATGTGTGATGTTTCATATGAAATTAGTTGGTTAAAAGTAAATGCTTTGGAAAAATATATACTTTAAACTCATCTGCATAAGCATAGCGCTTGTCGCAATTTATCTTTGAAAACAGAAATTAATTAAACAGAATTACCGCATTCACAAAGCGCTTAGTACTGTATTAACATCTGAGTCTTTTGAATTTAACTTGCTTTGTAAATTCTTTCTAAGAAATGCTTTGATCACCATACACGGTATTAATAAACATCTAAATTAGTCGTGATTTTATATGAAAACTGATCCTAAAACTGGTTACCGAATTAAGTTCCTGATATTTTCATGGCCTAAAAAAATACTTTGAAAATATTTATTTGTTCATTTTAACAGTCAAGACATCCAGCTTCTTCTCTACTGGCGCAGGAGGACTTTACTTTTCATTTTACATAGCCGTATACGTTTTGGGGGGATACCGAATTCAGACATGGCGGCATGGACGCAGCTCCTTTTCGTGCAATCGAAGGCTGCTTTTAAATTGTCGAAAAGGTGGTGAGTGTCGATTTGCTTTTCACGGATCTTTTCCAATATTTGACACGTGTTCAGTGGTTGACTTACCAGGTCTGAAGCCACACTGATAAGGTCCAATCAGTTTGTTGCTTTAGTTTTTCACACAGTACGCTCGATAGGACCTTAAATGCGTTATTAAGGAGGCTTATTCCACGATAATTGGCGCGGACTGTGGGAGAGCACTCTTTGTAGACTCGGCAGAGTACAATTAGGATCCAATCGTGGCACACTCTTTTTTTCCGACCATATTTTTCAAAGAAGCTAATGCATGCACCTTATCAGTTGTTCATAATTCCTCGACCAGTCTTCCATTGGCACCGCCGCGTTGTTGCTCTTCAAGCGGTCGATTTCTCTTCGAACAACTTCGTGGTCGTACAATGAAATATTTTTTCCATTGTCATCGAATTGAGAAATCGGAATCGCTATTTCGAGGCGTTCCACTTCCACTGTGTTCCCTTCATAAATTCAGTCTACTCTTTGAGTCAGTTACTAGATGAACTCTCTGGGTCCTAAAACGAGTTTGCTCCGGTCTTGCAACTATCTGTAAGTCGCCGTATAATTTCATATAATTTTCGAGCATCGGTATTTTCGTCTTCAAATGCGTATCCACATCCTGGCACAACGAAGCAAGTACTACTAGATTATTGTAGGACAGTGTGAATTGTACACTGAGCATATTGCACTAAACAAAAAAGATCATAGAATTCTATAGTTCATGTATTGAAGAGACATATACTCCTGAATTTGTCTTAGTGCAATGGTACACAAGAGACGACGAAGAGCTGGAGCGTCATCTTTGTCAGTTTCCAATGTCCGGTTTTTAGCCAATTGAGGTGTTAAATATTTTTAATTTAAGAACCTTAACTTATAATCATTAGGCGTTAAAATAAATGCAGGTTTCTTAACGCAATAATTAGTTATAGAATACTCTGTAATAATTAGACTATAACAATTAGTCCAAACAATAATTCCACCATTTTATATAAGCATAAGCCGATGGCACGTGATTGCTAGATGATAGCTAGTCATAAATTTGTTTATGAATTTCTGCACTATGCACATTCGCCCCCTGGGTTACTGATGACAAGAGCAGTGAGGTGTTTTGTACTTAATTAATTAGCAAGCGCATTAAAATTATCAATCGAATTCAATTGACTCTTGCGGACAATAAAAACATATCAAGAGAGCCTTTTCTGCAGTAATAAACACAATTACATATTTCTCACAACTAAACAACGCGATGAATATTTCACCTCAGGAGAGCATCCAAATGCCACACGAAATATATATATAAATAGTTGTTAATTAATTTAGACATTAATTAAATAAAATAAGTACTTATCGCAAGCAAGGCATGCAAGTTAAGTAACGACGTTGGTTTATTTTGATTACCAAGCATTTTCCCACCAAAAATCTGTCGCTTTGTGGGAACCTTGCAGGGG